AGACAGAGATCACAAGTAGGCAGAGAGACAGGCAGAGAGAGAGGAGGAAGCAGGCTCCCGGCCAAGCAGAAAGCCCGACGCGGGGCTCGATCCCAGGACCCTGGGATCATGACCTGAGCCGAAGGCAGAGGCTTTAACCCACTGAGCCTCCCAGGTGCCCCTTAGACTTGATTTTTAAGGAAAGTTGGTAATACTAAGATAAAACTGAAAATGATCTACAGGACCTAATGACTGTTATGATCTGTTGATTATCATTATTATTTTTTTTTAAAGATCTTTATTTATTTATTTGACAGAGATCACAAGTAGGCAGAGAGGCAGGCAGAGAGAGAAGGGGAAGCAGGCTCCCTGCTGTGCAGAGAGCCAGATACAGGGCTCGATCCCAGAACCCTGAGATCATGACCTTAGCCAAAGGCAGAGGCCTATCCTACTGAGCCACCCAGGCGCCCCCTGATCTGTTGATTATTATGGGCCTGAGCTAGTCCAAGCCCTAACTTCAGGTCTTTTTTTTTTTTTTCCCTAAGATTTTATTTATTTATTTTTCAGAGAGGGAGAGAAAGCAAGCACAAGCGGGAGAGCTGCAGGGTGAGGGAGAAGCAGATCTCTGCTGAGCAAGGAGCCTGATGCGGGACTCTGTCCCAGGACCCTGGGATCCAGACCTGGGCCAAAGGCAGACACTTAACTGACTGAGCCACCCAGGTGTACCCTTCAGGTCTTTGTTTTAAAGATGGGAAAGAGGACTCATTTTAAGGTTGCTTTCTCTTTGGTTTATTACTGAACTGGCAAAAAAGCAGTTCATGGCTAGTACCAGAGCCTGTAATCAGACCTCTTTCTTCTTAGCTTCTTCTCCTCTGCCAAAGCACTTCTTCAGCTGCTATTTTTGGTCAATTTAAATTTCTCTGTAAAAGACAAAATGGGTGGGCACCTGGGTGGCTCAGTGGGTTAAGCCGCTGCCTTAGGCTCAGGTCATGATCCCAGGGTCCTGGGATCAAGTCCCACATAGGGCTCTCTGCTCAGCAGGGAGCCTGCTTCTTCACCTCTCTCTCTCTGCCTGCCTCTCTTCTTACTTGTGATCTTTGTCTGACAAATAAATAAATAAAATCTTAAAAAAATTATAAAAAAAAAAAAGACAAAATGGGTTTACCTAACAGGCAACAGGAATATTACTTGCATACTTGGAATTTTAATCTTTAGAAGGGCTGATTTAGTTGTGTCCTGGAAGGGGTATTTTGTTTTATTTATTTTTTAAACATTTTATTTATTTATTTGAGAGAGAGGGAGAGAGAGAGAGAGGAAAATGTCAGAGGGAGAAGCAGACTCCCCATGGAGCTGGGAGCCTGATGCAGGGCTCGATCCTGGGACTCCAGGATCATGACCCCAGCCGAAGGCAGTTGCTTAACCAACTGAGCCATTCAGGCGCCCGGTAGTACTTTGTTTTAAATCATGGAGTTCTGAGATCTAGTCTCGCCTGTAACTGAATGATATGAGTACTATTCGTATGTGACTATATGCTCTTGGGCTTGGTTATCTCATCCTACCAGGCAGGATTGTTGTGGTAATTAAATGAAGTAGAGGACTTAATTTCTTTGCACAGTAAGAGATAGTGACCTTCACTGTAAGCCCTTATTTGTTTTAAGTAAATTTCAGAATTTGCTGTTGGCATTAACAGGGGCAGATGGACTATAAACATTGCAGCAGCATTACCCAGCTGTATTCCAAATTTAGTGGGTGTTGCACTAGATAAATAAAGTAATAGTAGATAACATATGATAAAAATAAAAAGTTGACTGGATAGATATTACATATTTTCCTTTTGAAGATATGCTATGCATGATAATGTATTAAAGACTTTGAGAAATTCTGCTCTAAAAAATATCTCTACTGAATTGATCATTAAGCCCTTCCTTTGAGAGCACTGATTTTAAAGAATATTGATATTCCGTACTGCATGGTTTGTGAAGCACTGCTTTAGGGTAATAATTTTGAAGATGACCTGGTGATCCAATTCTTCATAACAAGAGGCTGTACTTTACATGTGTAGGTGATAGGTAATGCTTATAAGTGGAAATTTATGAAATTTAAACAAAAGAAAGCACTGCTTTAAGTTCCATTTTTCCCCTGGCATTTATTGGATGAATTTTATGACAAAATACTGAAATTCACCCCAAAAAAATGTTACTAAATGCTAGTTAGCAACCTATATCAGAGGGAATTTAGTTTAGTTTTTTTTTTTTTTTTTTAGAGTTGATGTTACTTGTTGAAATAATTGCTAATAAAGCTTTATGAGTTATCAAAATCTGGGTCTGTGGGCTCAATTTGTTCATTTTCATTATGATCCTATTCTTTCTTCAGATTTCTGATTGATATTCTTATTTTTCACCAATCTATATTCCTGCTGAAGAGAATTACATAGTTAGAAAGAGTTGGACATTTGGGCTCAATGTGTGTTATCCTAACTAACCCTTTTGTGTTTTTGATTTCCATCTCAGGGGACACATTCTTAACCCATTAAATAAGATTATATAATTGGGAATACTGAATCTCTTATAGAGGGGTGCCCAGTGATTGAACTTGCTAATGTATTTGCTAAGTGATTATATTTTTATAATATAGTGATGTAGAAATCCGATCCAGTGTATTCTCTGTTACAGTTTAGTATCTAGAATTGGAGTAGGCACACCTGTTTCTTGAATGAGTAAGTCAAAGAATAAATAAAACCTGAGGGTGGCAGGGTTTGTGCAAGTAAGTGAACTTAATTATTTCTGAAAATATTACAGATAATTTGAGGGATACAGTACAGTATATTGGAAAGAGTACTGGGCCAGGAGTCAGAAATCCAAGTTCTAGGGGTGCCTGGGGGGCTCAGTGGGTTAAACCCTCTACCTTCGGCTCAGGTCATGATCTCAGGGTCCTGGGATCGAGCCCCACATCGGACTCTCTGCACAGCGGGGAGCCTGCTTCCCCCTTTCTCTCTGCCTGCCTCTCTGCCTACTTGTGATCTCTCTCTCTCTGTCAAATAAATAAATAAAAATCTTAAAAAAAAAAAAAAGAAATCCAAGTTCTAATTACAAATCTAAAGGGGAAGAGTTATGTGACCTTATGCAAGTCTCTGGCTCTTGTTTCCTCATTGGTAAAAGGGAGACTTATAATAACCACTCTTGCCTAGCTCATAGGTTGTTGAGGGGATAAAATGAATCATTAATAAAATGCTTTGTAAATATAAATGTACAAAGTCAGGCTTTTTTTCTCTTCCATGCCTAGCACAGTACCTTGAACAGTATTAGCACCAGTATAGACTTTCTTTCTTAATCCTGAAAAGGAGACTAAGAAACAGAGTCTAGGACTGATTCTTGGAATGCTCACAGATTGTTGGGGGATAGAAGAAGGAAGAGGAACCTGCAGAAGAGAAGCAAAAGAACCAAGTAGGAAAGAGGAGAGTCAGGAAAGTGTAGTCCTATACTTTCCAGGCATGGTTTTCACTAAGATTTGCTTATGCTCTTGGGGAAAGGGATAGTTAATACTTGGCAAGTAGGTTTTGATTTAATTTTCTGAACTCCACCTGAGTAAAATCCTCTGTCCCTTTACATGAGAAGTATTTGAGGGTGAAGAGAAGTTCTTGGAAACTTAAAGACCTTTGCTTAGGTAGTTTAAGAATACTTAAACTTTGGTTTTCTGTATTTTCTATACTGTGAATAATTTATTATCATGAAAACATTAAAAGTCTTAAATCACTCAGCTGGTTTTTTTTTTTTTTTTTCAAGATTTTATTTATTTATTTGACAGAGAGGGACACAACGAGAGAGGGAACACAAGCAGAGGAGTGGGCGAGGGAGAAGCAGGCTTCCCACAGAGCAGGGATCCCGATGCAGGGTTCAGTCCTAGGACCCTGGGATCAGGACCTGGGCCGAAGGCAGCCGCTTAACAACTGAGCCACCCAGGTGCCCCTTTCTTTTTTTTTCTTTTCTTTTCTTTTTTTTTTTTTTTTTAAGATTTTATTTATTTATTTGAGAGAGACAGTGAGAGAGAGCATGAGAGGGGAGAAGGTCAGCGGTAGAAGCAGACTCCCCATGGAGCTGGGAGCCCGATGCAGGACTCGATCCTGGGACTCCGGGATCATGACCTGAGCTGAAGGCAGTACTCAACCAACTGAGCCACCCAGGTGCCCTGGGCGCCCCTTTCTTGATGGGTTCCGGGATGACAGTGTGGTCTGGACAGTGAGCATCCAGTGTCAGGGAAAGGTCTAGTATGAAGTGCTTCCTGACGCATTACTTAGCACATCGATGTTCTTGGAGATACTAAAATAAGTTTGGGAAATAAAGCCCTCCTTCTCCACTTTGCATTTCTTCCTCACCTCAACCGCTACCCCCTTACACGAATCACTAGACTGTGAGGTCCATGAAGGTGCGATTGGAGGGGCTTTGTCCTACTCACCATTGTAGCGGCGGCACATAGAACTCCGGGAGCCATTGAGCCTGTAAATGACAAATCATAATCAAATCGGTTATTTCTGGGGCGCCTGGGTGGCTCGGTTGGTTGTTGGTGTGTCTGAGCATTGTGGCTGCCTTTTCTAAATTGGAATTTTTATTGAGTGAATTGCAGATTTATGTACAGTTGTAAGAAATAATATGGAATCATCCCTTGCATACTTCGGGTATGGCTGCTTTTTTTCTTCTACCTTATATGTAGCCTGGGAAGGGGGTAGACAAGCTTGTTAGAATTGTGACAGGTAAGAGGGAAGCCAGAGCGTTCTCTTAGGAATGGAATGCACGAACTTTAGTTCGTGGGCTCTTTTTTTAGCTGCCTTTTCCTTAATTTTTTAGCATGTGTTTCAGTTGGTGAAGTTATTATATAGCTGAACTCTTTGTAAGTGATATAATACAGTATTTATTTTCCTTTAAACAAATTCATTTCTCAGTCAGATACTGTTGAAATTAATTATACAAATGTGGAATCTTAAATTTTGGTAATGATAAGATATTTCTGTGTATGTTTTGTTTTAGGTTGTTTCACGAAGAAATCCAGAGGATGTCCAGGAGGTAACACACTTATACATATGAAAATTTTATTTTATATATTTGACAAAAATTTAATTAAATGCTTTGTTGAGGAAACAGAATTGTTGGTATGTCTGTCTTCATATTTATGTGTTTGCCTGGAGATTATCTTTAGCTCACAAAACAGCAGCTGAAGTTGCTTTTTCAGATCTATCAAGTACCGGTTAAGCTTAATAGGTGTTAAGTTATACAAGGAAGGATTTAAGGAATTATAGTGCTATTTAATAATGTGATAGTGTTTCTGATAACTAACATTCGTAGGATTTTAGTATTAACAGCTCTTATCTATTTCAAAATCATGGTAACTTTAATAAAAAGGAAAGGGCATTTGGTAACTAATATTAATTTTAAAGATTATAATAAATTATGGGGCCCTGTATACCTTCACTTTTATATTGAGTTGACATGTTGACACCTTGGAAAACTGCTTTGGGTATAGATATTGGTTATAGTGTTTCTTTTTTAAATTTGTAGTTGTTTTGCTACAACTCTTTCTCTCTAAAATGATACCAGCTTGTGTGTTTTTGCTTGAAACTATGGAATTCTTTATTTGTCATTACTTTGTGTTTGTTATATACCTTTAGGAATCCTTATCCAGTAAGGATAGCTACAATGATAGCTTGCTTGTTTTAATGGTTTTTGATTTACTTTCATTCTGGTCCCTGTTCATTTACACTGTGTTAGAAGGACATATGTTGGGGATTTTTTTTTCTTACTAAAGTGTTTAAAAAAGACATTGTAAATTGGCAGTCTTAATTCTGCAACAGTTTTTTTCCCCCCATTTGAATTTTAATGTCTTTAGATGGAGTATATATTTTCTAACAAGCCCCACTACTCCTTACTTAAAAACCTGACTTGATTTGTACATTTAAATGGATTGTTTGGTACTGGTTGGTTTGAGTGTATGGCATCAGGTTTAGACAATATTTGAACTTTTATACATTAGCATTTCTTGCTATACTTGATCCAATATTTGTTTTGAGCTCAATAAAACACAATTTTAAAAGATTTCATATTATTTTTCTTAGGGGTTTTAAGATATCTCACTTTCCCCTCTCAATAACCGGGAAGATGATATTGTAATACAGTTATTTGGGAAGAAAAAGATATATGTATTTCTATATCTGTATCCTTCCAAAATGGAAATGAAAGTAATTTGCACCATTGTATTAAGTACTCTCTCTACTTAAGTGTCAGTTGGCTAGTGTGGACTTTCTTTAGAGTTCTTCTAATTATGTTGAATTAATAGTCAGTACAGGCTGTTCTGCTTTTGAAATTTTACAACTCTTAAAATGAAAGATGGGTTGTGTTTCCTTTGAATACATTGTCTGATTGCTATGCTGTAGTCTGTAGCTTGATGTTCCCATTTTCCAGGGAGAATCCTGAACCAACTTATCCATGAACATACTCTCTGCCATTTCCTTAATCCTTTTTTGGGGAAAACTCTTTTATAATAACAACTGTTGGTGAGCCATTCATCAGAAAACTCTTGTAAGTGTCCTTTAGTTAGATGATTGCATGGTTCTTTGTTAGAAATGGTATAAAAATTTTTAAAAATGTCTTCTGTCTTGCCAGCTTCTTGAAATATAAAATAACCTTGAAATTGTAACACTCTGGCTTCTCATGTATTTCAAATGTTGGAATTCTCATTTAGGATAGAAATTTGCTACCTAGAGTTTGTTTCCATTTCCTTTCCTTTCACTTTCTCTCCTATTAAGGGACTCATGTAGGTACTGCTTTAGAATTTAGTCAGGCTTCCCAAGAACTATTGAGGATTAGAAGATGTCCTGTTAATCCAACTAAATATAGGGCTAATAATATGCTATCCTTATAAAACTGGAGATGTATTGTTGGTTTTCTTTTAGAGATGTGTTCACACACCTTGGCACATCCTGCCAGGTAGCGTGTTTTCTTTCTAAGAGTGCTGAACTATTCACATGGAGGAAATAATTTAAAATTATCCAGGATAGATTTCTTTTACAAAATTTTACCCTTCAAAAATTCCCTCTAAATTTTTATTTATTAAGAGCAGCATGGGGTGGGGCACCTGGTTGGCTCATTCGGTTAAGCATCTGACTTCGGCTCAGGTCATGATCTCAGGGTCCTGGGATCATGCCCCATATAGGGCTCCCTGCTCAGTGGAGAGCCTGCTTCTCCCTCTTCCTCTGCTGCTCCCCCTGCTTGTGCTGTCTCTCTCTCTGTCAAGTAAATAAATAAAATCTTAAAAAAAAAAAAAAAAGAACAGCATGGGAAACTTTGAGGGGGACAGCAACCGTTAATGTGGCCTCTGGTTCAGTAGTTTCTCTAAAGCATGAACACCTGCAGAAGGTTAAAGAAAGAACTAGAAATATTGTGCCCTTCCTCTCGTACCTTTTTCAAAACGTAACCTATACCTCTGTTTCTCTATAGGTAGTAGATTTCACTGGTGAAATTTGGGAGAAGAAGAACTGAAATAGAACTTTCTATGTATCACGTCAGAAATCTGTTAAGTCATTTCATAAATGAAATAGTTTGATAAAAACCATTTGAGAACATTTAAAATGTGTCAAGGGAAAGAAAAGGCTCTTGGAAAGGGGAGAAAGAAAATCTGAAAGCAAATATGGTAGTGATGCTGGTTGCAAGAAAAGATGATCCAGCAACTTTAAAATACTGTGTGAGAGGACAAACTGAGTGGTTTAGTTTATAGGATCTACAGGTTTTTGCTATCATTAAGTGAAATTATCTGAAAGGTAAACATTTATTTTGTGTAAAAATTATTTAAGGGAATGTATTTAATGAAAGTTAAGCTTTTACTAAATTCATAGTATATATATGACAGTCACTGAATTAATATTTAATTGAGGAATTTTATGCAAAGTAACTTAAATGAGTTTAAGAAATTTTTGTAGGAGTTGGTTCATAGAACAGTAGTTGTTACACCGTTTTTTTTCCTAGTAGGAAGGAATTACTAGAGAAAATAATTTTTGCATGCATTTTTTGGGACTTTGTGTAGTCCATTTATAAACATCAATACTGCTAATGTAATGGAAATGTGCTTTTGCTCACTTTTCCATTTTGAAGATTTCTAGAAATGTCCATGGTTAAAAGGGGTATGAAGAAAAGGAGGCAGTAGATGGTGACATTTTGTGATGTGTTGGTTTTCTGCATTTCTTGAGGGTTTATATTTGCTCTTGGTTATTTTGGTTCTATAGTTCCAGTGTTGAGAAGGAGGATGTGAGTGAATAAATTAGGCATGATGAAAAGGAGTCTCACCTTGGAGGCTCTAATTCTTACTCTGAAAGACTGTATGCTAGTTTATAGACCATGTTGTTATTAATGTGATTAAGTTATTAAGTTTTGCCCCTTAACTCTGCCTTTACTTAAAAATGACCCTAACTAGAATAGAAATTTTATCTGCAGATTTGTTTCTACGGACTAGTCTTTTGCATAGCTCTTGTTTCTAGTTTATAATGGCTTTAAGGATGGCATTTATGTAAGGTTACTTTTGCAAGCTCATCGCCCATTTCTTCCTTAAGCCTTTGGCAGCATGGTACCACCACAATTTGATCTATTTTAAAAATATAAAAATAGCACTGTTTTTTTCCCCTGTGACAGAATTATTTTCATGCATCAAAATTAGAAATTACAGAGAAGCAAAAAATATGAAAATTAAAATCACTTGTAATCTCACTGTCCTGAGACCATTTACTTTTTAGGTATTGGTTTGGCTGTCTTAGTTATTGGTTGGTTCCTCTTGTTCTTTTACTGGAACTGTTGGTTCTTTACTATTACCTTTTGCCTCATTCACTTAAATTTTATTTTATTTTATTTTTTTCACTTACATTTTAAAATAAAATCTTTTCTTCCATCCAAGTGGTCTGTCTCATGGCACAACCAAGCTTTTTAAACACCTACTTTGCACTTGGTTTCCTCTTCCTTACTTCTGGCTGATTTCTTAATGTTAGGGTTCCCCATTATTTTGTCCTTAGACTCCTCATCTTGTTATAAATGCTGAGAAAAGCCTTCCTGAGTGATTGCCACCTTTCTGCTGGTAGTTACCAAATGAATACATCTTCTTAGTTCGCTCTCTTGAACCCCAAACCTGTGCCAAATATGTCTAAAATTGAACTTTGTTCTTACCTTAAAAGTTCCCGGTCTCCTTTTCTCCGCCTTAGAGAATGGCACCACTATTTATCCAGTTGCAAAAGCCCAAATTCTAGTGATTATATTTGGCATCTCACTCTCCTTTTAAAAACTTCATCCCCAGTCCCTTCTCTCTCTTTATTTTTGTTGATCTGATCACTACTTGCCTTCAGTAGACTTACTTAAGATAACACCTTCCGTAGGTGCTCCTTTCTTAACACTCTTGGGCTTCCCTTGTCCACATTTGTCACACCGTCTTGTGACACAGTTACTGTGCTGGCTTGTCCTGCCCACTTAGACTGGGTCTGTGTTTCTCGTTTCTTCATCCTCTGTGCTAACACAGAGCCTGGCAGAGAGTAGGGACATGAAAATACTTGTTTTGGTGACTATTTTTGTTGTTGAGTGAATGAATAAAAGGAAGCCTTGGAAGGAGGCAGTTTAAATTAACTCATAAACATAAACATAATTCATAAACATCTGACTTGTTTTCTAGGATTACAACTATAGTAAAAACAAGAAGCTCGTCATGGTAGAATTTTTGGTAGTATATGATAAAGTTTAGTGAAGAATTTCCTATATCCAGAGAATAAATTTTTTGACACGAGTCTCTTAAATCTCACTTGATTACCTGCTTGGCCTAAGATTTGCTTATTATTAGCATTATGTTCTGTTGTGTTTGTTAGAAGTGTGAGATAATTAGGTTTTTTGTTTTTGTTTTTTTTAAGAAGCAAAGACCCTAATATACTAGGTAATGGAATTTAAAACTCAGTTATATCCTATTTAGTGGAGACTGAATCAGTGAAAATCAATATCAAAGTCATATGTCAAATCTGTTTTCTTTTCCTAATTTAATCTGAATAAGGTTAAACAGTAATTCAGATTAATGGAGGTAAACTTTTATGTGATATGTAATCTAGATGACTGATTTTCTGTTTTGAAATATACTAGTTTTAATGGTATTCTGTTCAGGATTCATCTTGCCTTCGGAAATCCTTATTACTACTTTAAACTGAGGTTTGTGAAATAAGATTTATGAAATGTAAAAGTTAAGATTAATTACTTGCTACACAGCCATGTCTTCTTCATTGTTATTTAGTTTATCCTTTTAGGCTGTGTAGGTACTTTATGTTTAAAAATTGTTTAGGGGCACCTGGGTAGCTCAGCAGATTAAGCATCCCACTCCTGATTTTGGCCCAGGTCGTGATCTCAGGATTGTGAGATCAGATCCTGTGTTGGGCTCTGTGCTCAGCATGGTTTGCCTGACATTCTCTCTCTTCCTCTTCCCGCAACTCCCGACCCACATGTGTGATCTCTCTTTCTCATTAAATAAATAAATCTTTTCCAAAAATTGTCTATATTAGGGGTGTCTTGATGGCTTAGTCAGTTAAGCCTCAGACTCTTTTGATTTCAGGTTGGGTCATGGTCTCAGGGTTGTGAGATTAAGCTCTGCTTTGGGCTCTGTGCTGAGCGTGGAGCTTGCTTGAGATTCTCTTTCTTTCTCTCTCTCTCCCTCTGTGTGCCCCCCACCCCTGGGCTTGTGCGTGCACTCTTTCTTTTTCTCTCAAAAAAAAAAAAAAAAAGTTGTCTATTTTGTGTTTATAAACATGCTATTTTTGAGAGAGTATATGTATTTTGACATCTAGCTCATTTCCTGGCCAATAGTAATTGATTTTTGAAGAGGTTAAGTGACATTTTAGGTGGTATAGACCCTCTTTGTACCAGGTTGAATATTTTTCCAAGGAAACGCTACTTGTGTAAAATGAAATTTAAAAATCAAAGCAGAAAAGCTAGAGAAAGAGTTGCTGCTCTATAAATCAAATACTATTATTTAATCTCAGCCAGTTAACCAGATTGGTTAGAACATATATTTGTTTGCCTTTGCATGACAATTTTGGGCACTTTCCTGAAAAGACTTTTTGTTGTTCAGATATCTGAGCCTACATAGTTTCCCTGTGAGAGACACATTTGATTTTTCTTTTTCTTTAGATAATCGTATGGAAGAGATACAGTGACTTTAAGAAACTACACAAAGAACTATGGCAAATTCACAAAAACTTATTCCGACATTCAGAATTGTTTCCTCCATTTGCCAAAGGAATAGTGTTTGGTAAGTGATTATTTTGAAATTGTGATTTTAAACAGTGATGATTGGCTAATTGTGTGTATATAGTGAACCCTGAAATACTGTATGATGATGTCAGAAACCCTTATTAAGATGGCTCAGGTCAGGCAGCAAGCCCTAGAAGTTGTTTCTTCATGTTCCTGGTGTAGGCTCGTTAGCGCTGCATGCATTTACTCTTCCCTCCTGTGAAACAACTGCACACCAACTTCAATGCCAGCCAGTCAAGCAAATTAAAAAACCCCCAAAACCATGTAGGAGCACAGAAAGAGATAATATTGAGTTATTCTTGTAGTTCTGAAATTTGGAGATTTTTAAAAGCTTATACTTGGTGTATTTTTTTAAAAAAAGATTTTGTTTATTTATTTGATGGAGAGAGAGATCACAAGTAGGCAGAGAGAGAGGGGGAAGCAGGATCCCTGCTGAGCAGAGAGCCTCATGGCGGGGCTCGATGCCAGGACCCTGAGATCATGACCTGAGCCGAAGGCAGAGGCTTAACCCACTGAGCCACCCAGGCGCCCCTTGTGCATTTTTTCTGATACCTTTCTTATAACATAAAGTGCTTATGATTTGAGGCACCCAGCCAGGCCAGATACAGATATTTTGGGGTGGCGGCTCTGGCTATGTTATGACTGCTGGCTTCACATGGCTTCACAAAATTTAACAGCAGACTGAGGCACGGAGCTTCCTAGTACCCTGCTGCTGTTGCTCTGTACCTCCAGTGGTGTTTGGGGGTTCGTGGCCCTTTAGCAGACTGTGTTGCCAGTTCCTGTCTGCAGCTCCCTGCCTCCCACTCTTGGCGTGCTGGCACCGCGGCAGAGAGCTTCCTGCTTGTCAGCCCCGGCCTGCAGGTTCTCGTCCGTCAGCTTCGGCCCCTCCTACTATAGAACAGCTTTCGCTGGGGTAACCGCGCTCGCTTCTCGTTTTCCGTTTGCTGGAGCCACAGTATCTCCAGTGAGATGTAAACTGCAGTCTGGGAGGGAGGTGCCTCTTCCAACTATTGCCTCTGTTTCTCTCCCTCGGCCATAGGGTATTTTTTAGAGGTCTCTGTTCTCGCCTCTGAGCAGTTAGTCCTATGCAAACAGTTAACAGTTCTTCATGCGTGGCTTCCGTTTTCTGGCTGGACCCTGGCTGCCACAGGGACCACTATCTGGGCTGCAGGTAGGCTCATTACAAGTTATTTCTGACATTCTTTCAGCAGCTAGTGTTAGGAAACACGATGCATTTCTGTACATTGCGTACATTATACGTTCTTCTATCCGCATACACATCTGCATACATACATCAGTATGTGATGTATCCTTTTATATACACTACACACTACAGAGACGTATTTTAGAATTGTTTGTAATAGCTTTTGGCAAACAAATTTTTGTATGTTCAGTTCTCTTCCTGCCCCCTCCACCCTCTAAGATTTTGGGTTTCTGGTCTTGATTAGAAATATTCCCCAGTTCCTCCATTTGCTTGTAAAATGATTTTTGGAGCTTAAACAATTCTTTTTAATATCCATGTGGGAAAAAAATATCCACGTGGAATTTATATTTGAATGAGATGTTAGATGATACTTCATTTTGTGTCTTTCAGATGGATAGACATCTGTTCTGAGGTATTTATTAAATAATAAATGTTTTTCCCAGTGAAATTGATACCATCTTCATTATGCATTAACTTTTTATGCATTGCCACTAATTTAAAGTTTTTCTTTTATGGTATTTATTTATTCTTATAGTAATACCTATTTCTGTGCCATGTTGATTTTTGTAAAATGGCTTTATAGAGTATGTTCTGATACTAGCTATATTTCTCATTGACTCTGGGGAAATTCCTGCCTTTTAGGATAGGCCTGGAATTCTTGGGGCTTTTACATTGATAATTCTAAGAAATGATACCAGTTATCCATTTAGTGCCTCTTAGTTTCACGTTTCTTCTTTCATTTTCTGTTACGCATTAATGGGTTGGACTCTTTAAATATTTTTCCTTTACAGTGAGTATGCTATTCAGAGTAGAGGCTGATGGATAGGCACTGGAGGAGGGTAAGGGGCTTCTCTCCCACCTTCCAGTGTGCTATGGATTTTGTTTTTCTTTTTGGTTCTACTACACTTTTGCCAGAGGCCTCTGCCTCAGCTACACACATAAATGTAGTCCACTGACAGGTTTACATCCCCTGCTAGTTTGGTAGCCTCTTGACTGTGTGCACCAAGGCACCCCAGACCTCGTGGAGAGTGTGGGCTTCTCGCTCTCTGACTCCCTGAAGGTTGTTTCCTGTGCTCTGGGGACACTGTAGATACCAGACCTCGTTGCTCTACAGGTGAGCAGGCTCCTGATGCCCTCTTTGCTTCTGCATACCTCTCTGCCAGCCTTGGCCTGCCTTTACCCCAGAAAGTTGTGTACCCCAGTCCTGTGTTACCTTGCTTGTGAGTGGGCTCCCAGCACTGGGATTCTCTCTTGTTGCTCGCTTGCAAGTCTTGTCCTATGTGAACTCTCGAGGGGTCTTTCTTGCTCTCCTGGCAACTGTGGACCAGCTCTGGCCTAGGGAACCCCGCTAACTTCTCCCCATTCAGTGGCTACAAACAGTTCTCCATAAAGATCCCAATCCCAACTTTTGGGGAGGGGTTCCCCCGTCTAGATTGTTCCTTCCTTTGGTACTTTCTTTTACCCTGGGGGTATTCTTTAGAATTAATAAGTTAACAGTTGTTTAATAGTCTTTATATTGAGCTTTCCTTGTTCAAATTACTATGTGGATTTAGTCTGTGGACTGAACCCTACTGATGTTCTCTTTGATTGAGGAAGATTTTTGGATGATTTGAAATTATCCATCCTCCACTGGCTTGTAGTTTATGTGGAACAGTGATTTCTTCAGGCTGTACTCCGTGAGCTTTATACCTTTCTTAGGATATTTGGCATGTTTCACAATGCCTTGAGATCTGGGGACAAGAAATAGATACATAATAGTATAGTAATATCAGTGGCATATATGACAGAATGAAGTGGCCATCAAAAGCTTGTTGCTATAATTCTTTAATTTTAACAAATACTTAATATTAACAATTTATGATATATAATGATGTCTTGAAATATACACAATGTCAAGAGGTTTCTTTGGTTCATAATTACAAAGGAAAGTATTTGTATTTCCTTAGGTGAGAAGCAGTTGAGGGATGTGGACAATAGGTCAGTAGCAATAGAACCATTAGTTTTGAAGATACCATCACTTCATTTTGTTCCCCTAAGGAACATTAAGGGATCCACAAACTCTTGTAAATCTTCACCTCCTTTGGCCTTTGAACTCAGACATTCCATCTTAGTCACATTTCTGGTGCCTTCTGTTCATTGTTATGGTTCTTTACTTTTTTCTTTGATACTTTTTCTGATTAAAGTTGTACTTGTTTTTTGCCATTGAACTACATACCTTTTCTGATCATGATTCTGCTGCTATTAATAGAGTCGTCTTTGGTTAATACCAGCCCAGCCGTAATTATGTGGAAATTTTATAGGCATGCTTAATTCAAGAAACATTTTAAAAATAGGTACTGTGGGTATGATGATTCCACCTCTGTCTTCTGAGAAACTTAGCTGAAGTGAGCATCATGATCTAGACGTTCTGAAAGGGAAGTGCTTTAAGGATGTGACATCCTTACTGTCAAGTTTTTAAGTTTTGTGGCATTCTACTTTTTTTTTTTTAAGATTTTTTTAAAAAATTGAAGTATAGTTGACATATAATATGATAGGAGTTTCAGGCATACAACATAGTGATTAAACATTTACGTAGATTATGAAATCAATGCAATGAAGCTAGTTACCATCTGTCACCATACAAAGTTATTACAATATTATTGACTGTATTCTCTATGTTATACTTCACATCCCTGTGACTTACTTATTTTATAACTGGAAATTTGTACCTCTTTATCCCCTTCACCCCAACCTCCCTCCCCTCTGGCAACCACCATTTTGATCTCTGTATTTATGAATCTGTTTCTGTTTTGTCTGTTCATTTGTTTTGTGTTTTAGATTCCATATATAAGTGAAATTGTACTGTGTTTGTCTTTCTTTGACTTATTTCACTTACCATAATACTCTCTAGGTCCATCCGTGTTGTCACAAATGACCAGTTTTTATTCTTTTTTATGGCTGAATGATATACCATTGTGTGTGTGTATGTGTATATGTATATATACCATGTCTTCTTTATCAATTCATCTATTGATAGACACTTAGGTGGCTTCCATATCTTGGCTATTGTAAATAATATTGAAATAAACATAGGGATGCATATATCTTTTTGAATTAGTTGTTTCATTTTCTTCAGATTAATACCTAGAAGTGGAATTTCTGGATCTTATGGTAGTTCTGTTTTTGATGTTTTGGAGAACCCGCATTCTCTTTTCCACAGTCACTGCACCAGTTTACATTTGCACCAGAAGTTGCAGGAGGATTCCCTTTTCTCAAGTCCTCACCAACACTTGGTATTTCTTATCTTTTTGAGCCTACCCATTTTGACAGGTGCGGGGTGATATCTCATTGTGGTTTTGGTTTGCAATTCCCTGATAGTTATGTTGAGCATCTTTTCATATGTGTGTTGACCATCTGTATGTCTTCCTTGGAAATACGCTTATTCAGATTCTCTACCCATGTTTTGATTGGATTGTTTTTTTTTTGGTATTGAGTTGTATGATTTCTTTATCTCTTTGGGATATTAATCCCAGTGACATTCTATTTTATTTTATTTTATTTATTTATTTATTAAAGATTTTACTTATTTATTTGTCAGAGAGAGAGAGGGCGTGCACAAACAGGCAGAGGCAGAGAGAGAAGCAGGCTCCCTGCCAATCAAGGAGCCCGATGTGGGACTGGATCCTAGGACCCTGGGATCATGACCTGAGGCACAGGCAGTGGCTTAACCCACTGAGCCACCCAGGCATCCTGACATTCTATTTTAATTATGAAGATGCAGGAGCACCTGGGTGGCTCAGTGGGTTAAGCCGCTG